GGACTGGACAGAAGAGGGCACAGAGGATACAAAGAGGACCTGTCCGTAAACGTATCTGCAGGAAGAAATTCCTGATGTGTCACAATATACAGCTAAAAGGAGGACCCCAGCAGGCAGTGCCTTGGACACCTGGAAAAAGGGCCCCTAGGCTTTAAAAAGCAGTCCCACAGCAAGTGACACTTTGCGAGCGATCACCAACTAGTGGTGGAGCTCAATGTCTGCTCCTCCTGTCTGGGATCGATTTACACTGTGCCTCTATGTGCAATGGGAGGAGCCTCTGATCGCAGATAAACGCAGATGATGATGATGATTCCTATTTCAGTGTAAATGTCCCACACTGCTATCCGGTCTGTGTGCGCAGTCTGGACTGTAACGAGGGGAGGACGGTGGGACCCCTGTTGTGGAGGACAGATAGATAGCGCCGTCGGGGTTCAGGAGTCTTTTTATGTTAGCATTTTATTTTCTCTCCCGTGACATATTCTGTGACCGGAGCGCATTTGGAAGTGTGTTTTTCGCATTGGCGCTTAGCGGCGTTTTCCCGTGTTTTTCTGCGTTTTTCCGCGTTTGCTTTTTAAAAAAAAAAACACGCCGGTTGCAACGTTTTACTGCGTTTTACTACATTTTTCGGGGTTTTTAGCTATTTTTAGCATTTTTTGCATTAGCGTCTAGCGGCGATTTCCCGTGTTTTTCCGCGTTTGCTTTTTTTTTTACAAAAAAGCACTCCGGTTTGCAATGTTTTGCGACATTTTTCAGCTTTTTTTTAGCGTTTTTGCATTAGCGTTTAGCAGCTTTTTCCCGTGTTTTTCCACATTTTCTCATGTTTTTCCGCATTCGCTTTTTTTTTTTTACAAAAAAAACAGACTGGTTTGCAACGTTTTACCGCATTTTGCCACATTTTTCAGGTTTTTTTAGCGTTTTTGCATTACCATTTAGCAACGTTTTCCCTTGTTTTTCCACATTTCATTTTTTTTTACAAAAAAAAAACACTGGTTTGCAACGTTTTACTGCGTTTTGCCACATTTTTCAGAGTTTTTTTCAGCGTTAGAGCGTTCTTACAGATAAAAAATTCCTCTAGAAAGAAGGATTTTCTTCCACATGAAGCCCTCATGCACACGGGACTCTTCCCCGAGTTCTATAAATCTGTCAGATAGAATTGTAGAGATTGGGCAGCACAGTGGCTAAGTGGTTAGCACTTCCGCTTAGCACTAGGGTCGTCGGTTCAACCTGCAACCACGGCATTACCTGCCTGGAGTTTGCATGTTCTCCCTGTGCCTGTGTGGGTTTCCTCCGGGTATTCCGGTTTTCCTTCCACACTCCAAAGACATGCTGGTAGATTAATCGGCCCTAGTATGTGTATGAATGTGAGTTAGAGACCTTAGATTGTAAGCTGTTTGAGGGCAGAAACTGATGGGAATGTACAATATACAGTATATGTAAAGCGCTGTGTAAACTGATGGCGCTATACAAGTACCTATAATATATATATCGCTCCAGGAGGTGACATGCACCTCCTTGCTAAGAAAGAAAACAAAATCCACTCTGAATAATAGGTGAGGTCATCTCCAGATAAAGATCCTCCAAGTGAAAAAGACGCACTCAGTGCTCCCACACCAGAGCCCAAATCATAGGATGAGCCCTCACTGCAACGCACAGCAGCCAGACAGATCTTTTATAATTTGCGTCTGTCACCGCATAGAGTGTGAATTAGCCCAAAGGCTTACCTGGCAACCACGAGTCACCCTGAAGGAACCCCCGATCTTCCACAGAACCCCAGCTGGGAAAAGCCATCTTAGAGCTTAATGCAGCCCTTAAAGGATAAGTTCACCTTTTAGACAAAAATAATAAATACACGTTATATGGAAAGAAAAAGTGAGCGCCTGGAGTGAGTATGAACAAGCGACTATGCACATAAATGGGTAACCAATAACAACATAAATAAGAATATATAAAATAAAATTGTGCAGCGCTAAGAAAAAGGTTTCAAGTATAATGTCCAAGACGGCAATATATCAGCTCACATATAACCCAATGAAAGGGAGTGCACTGCAGTGAATAAATATATTAAAATTAATAAATAAATAAATATATATAGAGATCAATGATCAAATAAAAAGTTCCAATCGGGTGACTGTAGTGAATCCTGATCCGGTAAAAGGTGCTAAAGTGGTGTAAGTAATGCGCACTCACCGGACGCGCATATTAATTGTGCCTTATATATGTAAATACAGGTGTCATCTGATGGGGCCTGAGGCTGAAAGGTCTTCCCTCCAGGGGACGGGTCATCAAATGTGAAAACAGTAAGCCAGGTGTCGGGGTATCCTTATTCCTTCTGGGAGTGGACATATATCACCAGGTATCCTTAAAGCGTGGTAGCCCGTCCTGGGATAATGGGTCTGCAGGTTTAAAACACTCCCCCAAGGGGTGGGAACAGGAATACTCCCAGAGTGTAGTAAGTAATAACAACTTTATTTTAGATGCATCAAATCGATAAGATCAAGTAGATAAAATAGACAGCAGTGTGACTGACCATCTAGTGTTAAAGATGGCCGCCGGAGCTCCACGTTGCTCCAGCGGCATGACATCACGGCGTGGTGTGGCTCCTCCTAAGGACGTCACGCCGCCGGAGCAACGTGGAGCTGTCTATTTTATCTACTTTTTAATCTACTTGATCTTTTTCCATGAAGTCCAAGGAATTGTCCGTAGACCTCCAAGACAGGATTGTATCAAGGCACAGATCTAGGGAAGGGTACAGAAAAACTTCTGCAGCATTGAAGGTCCCAATGAGCACAGTGGCCTCCATCATCCATAAATGGAAGAAGTTTGGAACCACCAGAAATCTTCCTAGAACATGCCGCCGCCCGGCCAAAATGAGGAATCGAGGGAGAAGGGCCTTAGCCAGGGAGGTAACCAAGCACCCGATGTTCACTCTGAAAGAGCTCCAGAGTTTCTCTGTTGAGAGAGTAGAACCTTCCAGAAGGAAAACCATCACTGCAGCACTCCACCAATCAAGCCTGTATGGTAGAGTGGCCAGAAGGAAGACAATGGCAGCCTGCCTGGAGTTTGCCAAAAGGCACCTGAGATGCTCTCAGACCATGAAAAACAAAACTCTCTGGTTTGATGAAACAAAGATTGAACTCTTTGGCCTGAATGCCAAGCGTCATGTTTGGAGGAAACCAGGAACTGCTCACCACCTGGCCAATACCATCGCTAAAGTGAAGCATGGTGGTGGCAGCATCATGCTGTGGGGATGTTTTTTTTAGCGGCAGGAACTAGGAGACTAGTCAGGATCGAAGGAAAGATGAATGCAGCAATGTACAGAGACATCCTTGATTAAAACCTGTTCCAGAGTGCTCTGGACCTTAGACTGGGGCGACGGTTCATCTTTTAACAGGACAATGACCCTAAGCACACAGCCCACATAACAAATGAGTGGCTACAGACCAACTCTGAGAATGTCCTGGAGTGGCCCAGCCAGACCCCAGACTTGAACCCGATTGAACATCTCTGAAGAGATCTGAAAATGGCTGTGTACCGACGCTACCCATCCAACTTGATGGAGCTTGAGAGGTACTGCAAAGAATGGGAGAAATTGCCCAAAAATAGGTGCGCCAAGCTTGTAGCATAATACTCAAAACGACTTGAGGTGTAATTGGTGCTAAAGGGGCTTCAACAAAGTATTGAGCAAAGGCTGGGAATACTTATGTACATGGGTTTTTTTTTTTTTCGTTTTTTTTTATTTTTAATAAATTGCAAAGATTTCAAAACAAACTTTTTTTTAGTAGAATGTTGAGGAAAAACATGAATTTAATCCATTTTGGAATAAGACTGTAACATAACAAAATGTGGCAAAAGTTAAGTGCTGTGAATACTTTCTGGATGCACTGTATACTTCTACAGAAAGCATTACCTAATCCACGTGTCCATGCAATGTGTCCTGTCAGCTGGTATCTCTCTCATACACATGGGCTCTGATCACCCATGGAGGTGCACTCACCCTAATCTGAGTTAAAGGATAAGTTTGATTTTTGTGGAGTTTATTGGTCTGGGAGAGAGCTGGAGACATTGTGGGCTGCTTAAGTGAGCCGTCCCTGAGAGGTGATTCACATCTAGCAGTGGTTCTCTGTTTAATGAAGGCACATGAGGCCTAAACCCTGACAGAGGTATTAAGCCTTCCTGAATCCATCCAAAACCTAAAAAAAAGGTTTGCCTGGACAAGGCTAGGTTCAAACTGGCCTGCAGGCTGCAGGAACAGGAATCAAACCTATTCCCGCACCCACAACAACCCGAATTGCACTGTGAGACGCACAGGGCTGCCATTCATTCTGAATGGTACCCCCACGCATCTCAGCCTGTAGAGCGATTGCGGGTGCGGGAACCGCAGGGAAACTACATGGTCAAAAAAGACCACGCAGTTTCCCTGCAGCCGCGTTTTCAAAAAGGCATGTGCACCTGTTTCCTGCAGGAAACGCGGCACAGCAGCCCATTCAAATGAATGGGCTGCCGTGCCCGAGCAAACACGGACCGCACGGTCAAAGCCAGGTATCTGTTCCCGCCTCCTAAAATGGTCGTGAGAATGACAATCGGGCTCAGGGTAGGATTTCTGCTGCTGTTCCTAATTTTTAGAGAAATGAATTGCACGTGCAGGCCGGACAATAATCACACTGACAACTGTGCAGTATAACCACGTCCTCATCTCTGTCTATCGCTCTGAACAAACAAGTTAAGGAGGACTGCAAAGCCCAGCAGACAAAAATATATACGCACAACACATATATTTAGAAATATGAAAAAGTATAAAAGTAAATATATATATATATATAAAAATGTATATTTTAAACAGGAAACAGAATAGGCATTTTACCAAATCCATCACACTCCCCCTCCAGAAAGTGCCAAATATGGCAGTGGATGGGGAGGGAGGTAAACAAGTGGCGCTTCCACTTTTGGGTGAAACTCCACTTTAACCCTTGGAGTGCAGGACCATTGCAAGGAGGAACTTTCAAGTTTCCAACAGTTGGGCTTTACCGACCTTCCGCCCGCCCTATAGTACAATGACCGGTGGTTCTCTCGTTCTGATAGGACGTCATATGACGTCCTACCATTCTCACTGCGCATGCGATCGCCAGTCACGGAAAGAGCCGAAGATGTCGGCTCGGTCATGTGATCAGCTGTGTCCAATCACAGCTGATCACATGTAAACAGGAAATGCCGGTTATCGGCATTTCTCTCCTCTCGAGCTGTCACGCTGACAGCTCGAGAGGAGAGGAGAGCCGGTAATCGGCTTTCCGCGGAGGGGACATGTACACTGATCATCAGGGCACTGATGATCAGTGTGCCCTGATGATTAGTGTGGCCCCAGAAGTGCCACCTGTCAGTGCCTATCAGTGCCACGTGCCAGTGCCCATCAGTGCCACATCAATGCCACATATCAGTGCATACCAGTGCACATCAATGCCACATATCAGTGCCCATCTGAGCTGCCTTTCAATGTCACCCATCAGTGCCAGTCAGTGCCACCTATCAGTGCCACCTATCAGTGCTGCCAATCAATGCCACCTATCAGTGCCAGTCAGTGTCGCCTATCATTGCCAGTCAGTGCAGCCTATCAGTGCCGCCTAACAGTGCCAGTCAGTGCTGCCTAACAGTGCCAGTCAGTGCCACCTATCAGTGCCAGTCAGTGCTGCCTATCAGTGCCACCTATCAGTGCCATAAATTCAGTGTCATGTATCAGTGTCATGTATCAGTGCTGCCTTTCAGTGCCCATCAGTGATGCCTGTCAATGCCCATCAGTGCAACCTACCAGTACCTCCTCATCAGTGCCCATCAGTGCCACCTATCAGTGTCCATCAGTGCAGCCTATCAGTGCCCATCACTGCAGCCTCATTAGCGCACATCAGTGAAGGAGAAAAAATCACTTATTTACAAATTGTATAACAAAAACTAAGAAAAAACTTTTTTTTTCAACATTTTCAGTGGTTTTTTGGTTTTTTTAAGAAAAAATAAAAATCCCAGAGGTGATTAAATACCACCAAAAGAAAGCTCTATCTGTCTCAAAAAAATGATAAAAATTTCATATGGGTACAATGTTGCATGACCGCGCAATTGTCATTCAAAGTGTGACAGCGCTGAAAGCTGGAAATTGAATGAATTGCTTAGTGGTCGGGGTTAGGAACGGACGTATTTTGGAGATGTTGCGGAGGTGAAGTCTACATGAGTTTGTCAGCGAATGGACCTGGGGCTGGAAGGACAGATTGGAGTCTAGGATGACACCTAGTACTCTGGCTTGAGGGGAGGGACTGATGGTGGTGTTGTTGGTCTTGATGGAGAAGTCAGGGGGGAGAGGCGCGGGCTGGGGGGAAAACTAGGAGCTCAGTTTTGGAAAGATTTAGTTTGAGGAAGTGGAGTGACATCCAATACGATATGTCGCTCAGTAGGCTTGTGATAGGGGCGGAGACTGAAGAGGTGAGGTGAGGGGTAGAGAGATAGATTTGAGTGTCATCAGCATAGAGATGGTAGTTGAAGTCGTGAGAGTGTATCAATTGGCTAAGGGAGGAGGTGTAGATGGAGAAGAGAAGGGGCCCGAGGACAGAACCTTGACCCCAACAGAGAGGGGGAGTGAAGAGGAGGTGGCAGCGTTATAGGTAACACTGAAGGAGTGCTGTTATAGATAGGAAGAGAGCCAGGAGAGAGTGGATTCTCTGAGGCCAAGAGAGCGTAGTTTTTTGAGAGGAGAGGGTGGTCAACCGTGTCGAAAGCCGCAGAGAGGTCGAGGAGTAGGAGCACTGAATAGTGGCCATTAGCTTTGGTGGTTAGCAGGTCGTTGGTGAGTTTGAGTAGGGCAGTTTCGGTGGAGTGTAGGGGGCGGAAGCCAGACTGTAGGGGATCAAGGAGGTTGTTGTCGGTGAGGTGGGAACTCAGGCGATTATAGACTAAGCTCTCTAGGAGTTTGGATGTAAATGGCAGCTTGGAGATGGGTCTAAGGTTGTTCGGGTTGGTGGGATCCAGGGAGGGTTTTTTAAGTATGGGAGTGATGTGCGCGTGTTTTAGAGGGGAGGGGAATGTGTCGGTAGAGAGGGAAAAAGATTAAAGATGCGTGTGAGGGAGTGTAGGATGGAGGAATAGGGTGATCGTAGGAGTTGTGAGGGGACAGGGTCAAGGGGGCAGGTGGTGAGGCGGGATTCAGAGAAGACCTTACTGACCTCTTCAGTGGTAGCGAGTCGAAGGAGTGGAGTGTTGAGGGGGTTTTAGTGTGAGGGATGCTAGGTGGGGTGGAAGTCTGAGCAGTGGCGATGTCCCTACGAATTGCGTTGATCTTGTTTTTGAAGTGGTTAGCACTTCGTGGACGGTGTGTGAGGTACTGGGTGGAGGTGGGGGCGGAGAGAGAGTAGAGAGTTAAAAGTAAAAGATTTAAAAGTAGAGAAGAGACGGCGAGGACTGGAGGAGAAGGTATTAATGAGGGTAACAAAGTAGGCGTACTTGGCAGCGTGAAGGGAGGAAGTGTAGGTTAGGAAGGCAGATTTATATCGGGTGAACGCTTGTTGGGATCTGGTTTTGCGCCATAGTCGCTCTAGTGCATGACTGCGTCGTTTGAGATTTTTGGTATGGTCAGTCTGCCAGGGATGTAGGGGTCGGGGTCTAATGCTTCGTGTTGTTGGGGGTGCTAGCGAGTCTAGATCGGCTGATAGCGAGTTGTTATAAACAGTAGTGGCCACGTCAGGGCAGGACAGGGGAAGGATACTGTCGTAAAGTTGGTCAGCAGGAGAGTGGAAAGGGGCAGGGTTCAAGTTGCGGACGTTTCTGCTGGTGATAGTTTGATGTTTGGAGGGATAGGTATTTGAGGACGAGGAGACTGTGAAGGTGATGAGATTGTGATCATAGAGGGGAAATGGTGTGTTTGATAGGTTATAGGGAGTACAGTGGTGGGAGAAGACAAGGTCTAAGTTATTTCGGAATGAGTGGAGGACTGAATACATTGCGCTAGCTCAAAAGAAGAGGTTAAGTGGAGGAGTTGGGATGTAGCCGGGTTATTGACGTTAATAGGGATGTTGAAGTCTCCGAGGATGATAGTGGGTAGCTCAGAGGAGAGAAGGTAGGGTAGCCAGGCGACGAAGTTGTCGAGAAAGCGGGACACGGGGCCAGGAGGCCGGTAGATCACTGCAATCCTCAGGGGGGTTGGAGAGAATAGCCGGATTCAGTGGGTCTCGAAAGAAGCAAAGGATAGAGAGAGAGGGTTAGGGAGGACTTAGATGCTTAGAGGTGACAGAAGTAGACCAACCCTGCCTCCTTTCCGACTGCTGGGCCTGGGTGAGTGGGACAAGGTGAGGCCTCCATAGGAGAGTGCTGCGGGGGAGGCAATGTCAGCTTTTTGGAGCCAGGTTTCGGTGAGGGCAAGAAGGTTAAGAGAGCGGGACACGAAGAGGTTGTGGATAGAGGTGAGTTTATTGCATTCCGAACGGGCGTTCCAGAGCGCACAGGTGAACGGGAGGGTGGTTTTGGGGAGCAAGGGGACAGATATAAGATTGTGGGGATTGCGGTGATTCCCGGGGGAAAGAGGATGCCTTGTGTGTGTAGAGGAGGTCCAGGGTTCGGGGAGATATCCCCAGAGGTTAGGAGGAGAAGAAGGGTGAGGAAGGTGGCATGTGATGTATACGGGCGCGCATGCCTTCCAGTCCTGGCGTTAGGGTCAGCAGGAGAGTGGAGTATTAGCAAGAGGTGATGAGAGCAGTAGTGAGGAGATGAGAGCAGTGAGGGAGAGAAAGGGTATTTCTTTCATGCGTGCTTGGGGCCTACCCCAAAGGGGATAGATTCTCAAGGCTTCTTGTAGCTACTTTGGGCTGGTCTCAGATCACCAGTTCCCATAAGACCCGCTCTATTCGCACATGGCCGTGACATTATATCAGAAGAAGATAGCCCAAACCTCAACCTCTTCCAGTGGCAGGGCTTCTGATAAAATGGTACTAACCCACCGGTTAGCATGCTAGCACAAATGTTTACAGGCGAACTAAATAGAACATGCTCAAAATTATACAATGAACATGAATTTTTCTAGTTTTGGCTTACATAGCTAAACCAGAGTTTATTAACCTTTTTCCAGTAAGGGCGCCCCTGAAAACTATTTTCAGTCTCTAGGCACCCCATTCTAAGGATTGGTTCACATTACTGTGTGACCCAATGCTCTTCACTAGATGCACAGGCGTATCATTAATTCTCAATGGTAAACCCATGCACTGGCAAACGCAGTGCACAATTTTAAAAAAAGGGTCGAGGATTTCTTACCCTGTGTTTCTACAGGTAGGAAAGCCCATTGAAATGAATGGGCTGCCCGACATGCACCACGCAGCTGCACAGATGTGAACCAAAGGCTCATTCACACGTGAGGTTGGGGGATAAAAAAAACATTTGGTTGAGCCACATGTTTACCACCCCCAACTGCTCCCCCTTTAGGGGATTTTTTTTTCAGTTATTTGCAGGGGTACTCAGCATGGTATATTGTGTATAGCAATACAATTTTAAACTATACTCTATAAAGAAAATTACCAATTCACAATATTTAGGTTGTGTACTCAAGCATAATAAGCAAGTGAGCCCCTGATGATGTCACATCCGACGAAACACGCTGGTTGGAGCTAGGTGCACTGACATCACCACGCAGGTTTGAAGTTGCAGATGAAGCCCTGGATACTTTCTGTGAATAGTGCTATAGCGATATAAACATATGTGATATATATTTATTACTTCACGTCTGGCTGAACTGGCTAGTTATTCCATCAGGCTGATCTTTGAGTGATAATTGATCCAGGCTGATTTGGAAGAGCACTGACATCTATCTGAGTTCTGCTGACATGTTTATTTAAACTTTGCAGTGCAGGTCTATTTTGGAGGTGAACAGGTAACCTTGAGGGGCTGAGGAGACTTTATACCTTGGAATACACTTTTTCTTGCACTTTAAAGATTTGTACATTGGGTGGACTGAGCATTGTTTTCACTACAGGGTGGTGTGCAAATAATGAGTATGCGGACACAGAAGAAAGACACAAAATTAAAGTTGTGGGTTACAGAGAAAAAGTTGAAAAAAAAAATTCATAAAATATTGTGGATTACCCCAGCTACAGAAATATATTTTAGGCAATCTAAATACAAAGCATCTTATTTATCAATTACCAATTTAAAAAAAAAAATCTACATTAAAGTGTAACTTAAAGTGTTACTAAACCCACAACAGTAAAATCAGTCTGTATATGCAATAAAGCACACGTGTTATACTCAATGTAGAACCTAAGGGGTTAATTCTCTACATTGCGTAAAAAGACTGTTTGATCCTGCCTTCTCTGATCCTCCCCTTCTTCCTGTGTCCCCCTCTTATCACCTGATAAGGCATATCATGTAGAGTCACTCTGCACATGCTCAGTTTGGTGTGTATTGCTAGAGAGGTTTTTTTTGTTTCTTGGGAGAGTGCATGTGATCAGCACAGGGCCAATCAGCACTGTCCAGACACAGATCAGGGCTTCTGCATCCTCCTAGAGCAAAATGAAAACTCCTCCTACAAGCTTTAACATGTGCTCTGCTGGACACTGATAGAAGTCACAAAACTGCTCTAACTGCTTATGAGAAAAGGTATTTAGCAGTGTATATTTACTAAAATAATTGCATTTCCATGTTGTGTGTACTGTGGGAGACCAGATAGAGTGAATGCAGGGTCCTGGGTTTAGTAACACTTTAAGTCAAGAATGTTTTTCATTTTGG